TTTCCCTAGAGAAATGTTAAATTTGCCTAAATGGACTGCGTGAGCGCTCCCATTGACTTTCTAATTAACTGACTATTAGATATAACGATTTTTACGAGGCGCGAACATTGTCGCGGAGCTACTCTATGCAGTGACGACTGAAGGAGGTGATCAGTTATCGATGAAAGAATATCGGTTCGCGTGAATATCACGGGCCGAAGGACGCGGCTGAATATATGGTAAATCCGCGAAGATGTGCGACGAAGTCGGGGTCGAACATCGATGCGTCACATCTTCACGCGTCTCACTCTTCCTGATCTTGTTTCAAAACATTTTCTGTAAACAATTACTTGCATATAATTTTTTAATATTGCATTTCTCTTATACAAGGGTAACAATTGCTCTCTTATACAAGAGTAACTAAACTAATTGAGTCGAACTTGTTTTTAAACGTGTCGTAAGCGGATCATATAAATTACATAAAATAAAGTACTTCCATGTACGAAAATTAACTAGGACGTTAAACAGATAGGTACAAGTGGCAAGCACAAATCTGATTTTTTAAATGTTTTTTTCTCGCGAGGAAAACGTTTCTTCGATTTCTAAGAGCTTTAATAATTAGAGGCTAAATAATTAAACGTTTGAAGCAATTTTAACTTTAAACGCATTTCATAAAAAAAATGATTAAGATAACAATTTTTATCTTTTGTTGTTTTTTTTTAATCGGGAAAGGAAGAGATTTGCAAAAGACAATAATTTTTATCTTTCGTAGTTTTTTTCTTTAATCGGGAAAGGAAGAGATTCGCAAATCCATCCTTCATGAATACCGTCGATTTGTCTACTTTTGTTGAAATAACTATCCATGCAGAACAGAAATTTACGATAATATTAAGGTGACAAGAAAATGATCGAATTATGATTAAAAAATGAGTTTTTTACTTATCTTAATCAATTTTTTAGTTATCTTTTAGTTATCATTTAACTAAAACTTTAACTTTACTGTAATTTTTTATTCTGCTTGTAGTATAATTCTCAGTAGTCATAGCTGGGCATTATGGCCTCTTCGTATATTAAATATTTTCCGAATACTTATTATTTCAATGACGTAAGAAATGTTTGTTTCGCATATAAGTTGCTACATTTAGTTGTGTCATTATCAAAGGTCAAGACAAACAGCTGAATCAGATATTTTGCAATAGCTGTTATCCTTAAATAATACGGTTAAACGCGAGGGCATCAGATATCTCTTATAGAAATATCATACTAAGAATCATTGATAATTACTTATTTTCAGTATTAAAAATACTGGATAATAAGTAATTATCAATGATTCTTAGTATGATATTTCTATAAGGGAATTCAATAATGACGTCAGTTTTGGCGATTGTTATATCACTCATCATTGTTTATTGTTCATTAAAAGCTGATGAATCACTACTTGTAAAAATTTTGAAGAAATAATCTTATTTTTATATTTTTATTTATTTTATAGATACTTTTTCCACGTGGATAATTTAAAATTACCACGTTTAATACTGACAATTAATACTGATGCGATCATTATATTTAAAAAAGGCGTCCACTTTATGTTAGTGCTGCAAATTAATATAATCATATCATAGATATTACTTGCAAACAATTTTTTGTATATCGAGGATTTTTTTAGGTTACTTTGGGTACGTCACTCTTGTTCTTTGAAATGTCTTTAACAAGAACACGAAAAGATATTGATTTATAAGATGAATCGCAGGAAATTACTTAAAAAATGTATTCGATTATTTGTTGTCTCGCATATTGAATAATATTAGGGTTAAGTTCTGATGCGCACTACTTAAGGGTATAAATATATCCAATAAAATTATGAGATATAAAATAATTTCATAAAATTATATACACACATATTTATAATATAATACTTATATATGTATTATATAATATATAATACACATCGAATTTCTATGATATTAACTGATACATCATACAATCTACACAAAAAACAATAACTTTTTTGCCTGTTATCTATTTATAAGTAAAGCTTATAAGTTAGTTTTTCGACATAGAGAAAGGCGCATATAAAAACTTGAATATATAAAGATAATTTAATTAAAAAGTGATATATTTTGTTAAATATATGATTGTTTTAGAACAAATCCATAAAGAACGCGGCATCAACTCGGAAGTTAAACCAAACATTAACTTTCTCTCCTGTTTACTCTGTGGAAGTCTAAAATACTAAAATATATGATTCTTGTACTGCATGCAAATGAACTCGTTACTAAATTATAAGAATGTTATAAATGGTTTAATGACACAATTCTAATAACAGAAGATTAAGAGTTTTTTCTCATAATTATTGATTTCGAAACTGTGGTTTAATCTTCATTATTGTAACTGTTTATAATAATTATATGTATGCACTCGAGAAATCTTTTTTCTTATTTTCTTGTTTTCTTTTTTCTTTCCATTTATAATTATTTGATAAACTCAATTGATGTGGAGAAAACTGAAAAGATATTGTCCCAGACAACACGAACTTTTAAAAAAACGTCTTAAAAATATCTTAGATTGATACTCTATTTGTCATATAAATATTGTCGAATGTGCCAGTTAATTGTTGAAACAATACTAAGGTCTATAGCAGTTTTTTCGTGTATTTGATAAAAATTCTCTATCCGACCAACTAACGCCAATTATTGCATACGGCAAACTTTATCGTAAAAAATAAAAATAAAATATTATATACTTTAACAAATAAAATATTAAGCTAAAATATCTTATTGTTTCTAGACTTCTTTTAAAAGTTTTAGTCTGATCTGAGGGATTTAAATGAGTACATAGTAAACATCAGCTAATGGTGACGTTATATCATTGTTATCATTTTCCACTCGACAATGTAACTGTTACATAACACATGTGTTATATTGTATTTATATATATTATTGAGTGAGAAATTATAATATTGATGTTATATAACTGTTACTTGGTGTTTACTGGGAAACAAATTCAAAAGTGCTACTTGTATGTGTTTCATGTACAAGTGGCGTCCTCTTTCCTGTGCGTTTTTAAGTAGAGACTTATAGCGTGTTCGACTGGCCCTGGGTTAATTGCTCCGAGAGTGATTAATGACGTTATAAGTCTCTACTAGCCAATCATAAAGTTTATAAGTATTTGTTCGACCAATAAACGTAGGCTAAATAACCCAGAATGGGTTAACCTAGAGCCAGTCAAACATGCTATAATTTTCACGCTGTTCGATGTGCCATCTGCACCCATTTTTGAGGTGGAATTACGTTCCTTATGCGCATTTTCAGACACTGCCGGTAAAGTGTCGATTTGATGCGTGTCCATTCTACGCTCATTTTCTGGCGATTCGTGTCCGTGCTAAGCGCATAATTGCGTAATTGAAAACATGGACTGTCAATGTTTTTAACCACGTAATTATGCACTTAGCACGAATCGCCAGAAAATGGGCGTAGAATGAACACGCAATAAATCGATATTTTACCGACAGCGTCTGAAGATGGGCGTAGGGAACGTAGTTTTATCTCAAAAATAGGTGTAGATGGCGCATCGAACAGCGTGAAAATTATTGTCGGCCAAAACGTATAACGTGGCTGCTCTCAGGTTTCTCTCTGCCAGGTTGCCGTTGTTGGTGATTTTTCACCATTTTGGGGATTTTTAAGGTTTTTTGGTGATTTAGTGAATAATATCGTGTTTGGCTGGCCCTGGGCTGCTATTCCGTTACCGTGGTTCCGATAGTTGTCGGATCAGTAGGTGTTGTTGCGCAGTTTTTCCACGGTACAAAAAAGCTGCGCAACAACGCCTACCGATTCGACAACTGTCGGTATGCGGGAACGGAATAGTATCCCTAGGTTAATCGGGGTGGAACCCGATTGACCACGATACGATTGGACACAGATTGTAATGATTGGTTCGACCTAGTAATTCACTAGATAATTATTTTCATCGGTTGGTTGTGTCCAATCGTACCGTGGTCAATCGGGACGCTCCCGGTTAATCGCTTGGAGAGTGATTATTGACGTCATTAGTCTCTAGTAGCCAATCATAAAACTTATAAGTACTTGTTCGAACAATAAACGTAGGATGAATAACCCAGAGTGGGTTAACCCAGAGTCAGTCGAACATACTATAATTTTCTTTATTTGGTGATAAAAATGGCTGCGTTCGAAAACATTACCCGAGTATTCTCATATACTATTTTATTCTTATTTAATATTCATCCAATATTAAACAAGGATAAGATGATACATAAAGGCACTTGGATGATGTTTTTGAACGCAGTCAAAGCAATTTCGCAATTATAAGATTCTTTAACATGATTGGTCTTGTTTCTACTTCCTTATTGGATCTAAATATTGGTATAAACCAATCATATTAAAGAATCTCACTATACACAGTTGTGTCTTTTGTTGAACGCAGTCAATCTATTAGGTTGCTTTCTAACAAGAGACACAAGTCGATACAAACATCATTCTATCTTTGTTTCACATTTAGTGAGTAACAAAGATAGGATGATAACTAATTACAAAATAAATTTTTCCCTCTCTTTTTACTAGTATATTTTCATATTTTCATGAAAATTTAAATATATTGTATTAATTTTGTTTATATTTACGTTTAAATATGTTCATTAAAACATTAAAAATGACTAAAATTGTTTTTTTATTCGAATTTATATACATTTAAAAAAATCAGGTGAAAAATGTTGTAATCTGGTGATTTTTGAAGCAGAAATCTGGTGAATAAATTTTTAGAGCCGCGGCTACACTGCTCTCTGCTAGCGCCTAGCTCTGGTCACTAAAATCAAGCTGGTGGCCGCTCTCAGGCTTCTCTCTGAAGCTACAACGCGCTACAGTGCTAAGCACGTGGGTTGACTAACCATTAGCAAATATATAATTTATACACAGTTGAAACACGTGAATATTTTCAATTCTAATTTTTTTAAGAATAAGAATATATTAACATACACGCAAGCCATATAACCAAAATATCTTCGGGGAAAGCTGAAGGCTTGGTGAAGGATCCTCCATTAGAATTAGAAAAAAAACAAATGCAATTTTATTGAAATTTGAGATAATATATGTATTTTAAATTTTTTTCACAATATAATAAATTTAAAAATCAAATGTCTTTTGCGTTGAGGCTAATCTAGGTTAGAATTAAATAAAAGTCAATATCTAGGTTAGAATTAAATAAAAGTCCTCTGTGTGTGCTACTCAACTTTATTTCTTCAAAATTATTCCTTTGTTAACACAACATAAATGATACTAAAATAGATTCGTCCACTGTTTCATACATTAGACTTGATAGTGAGTAGTTTTACATTTTGTGTAATATGTGTTTTTAGAGACCTATACAAAGATGAAACGAAAAGCAAAAACTTTGAATATCAAATGTGATGGTGGTAAAAATACTAATATTAAAAAAAGTAACATTGGAGAAACAATAGATAGCGGAAAGAAGAAAGTAAAATTTGAAAGGTCCTTAAACAAGAAAGGTAAGATTCGTTCGTTATGGTATACATTGAACTTGGTAGTAAATAGTTTTATATTTTGTTCAACATGTGATTTTCAGAGACCAGTTCAAAAATAAAGCCAAAAGCAAAAAATTTGAATACTAAATATGGTGATAGTAACAAAAATATTGATATAAAGAATAATATAGAGGAACCAATAGATAGTGGAAAGAAGAAGAAAGTAAGATTTGAAAAGTCCTTAAACAAGAAACCCACAGGTAACATTTATCTGCTATACCATGATATAGCAGATTTGATATTAAATTTGATAATGTACACTTTCATATTTTGTATAACATATATTTTTCAGAGATCCACTCAAAAATGAAGCAAAAAGTAAAAAATTTGAATATTGAATGTGATGATGATAGTAAAAATACTGATGTTTTAAAGAATAACATTGAAGAAGAAATAGATGGTGGAAAGAAGAAGAAAATAAAATTTGAGAAATCCTCAAACAAGAAACCCACAGGCAAGAAAGGCAAAGTAAAAATAGTGATATTCCAGAAATTATGTGCAAAAATAAATAAAGATATTTTTTCAGATAAAAGTGTAAAGAAGCTTTCTTCAGTTAACAAAGATTCAAAAGAAAAAAGTCCGAAAGCAGTTAAACATAAGACTGCAACTGAAAAGACAGATTGGCTCAAGCTAAAAAGAGAAAAGAAAGAGCTCAAAAAGACACGCAAAGCCAAGAAGATGAATGATGACAAACTATATAACTTAGTTATTCAGGCTAAACAGATTAACGAGAAGTTACGTAGATCCGACTGCACTCAACAAGATCGTATAAAGTTAACACGAACATTACACAATCGGTTGGAAGGTCTCTACAGCAAAATAATATTCACACACGATATGTCGAGAGTGATTCAATGTATGATCAAGCATTGTGAAGGTGACATTCACCAAGCTATATTTCGTGAGGTGAAGTTGTCTATTGTAGAAATGTTACAGTCAAAATACGCGAAGAACTGCGTTAAAACTATTTTAAACTATGGCTCGCAAGAAATAAAAAATGAAATTGTGCCTGCCTTTTATGGTAATGTCGTTAAATTGATGAGTCACACTGTATCAGCCCCCATTATCGAGTTCGTGTACTCTTCCTCTTGGTGTAAAGATCACGACAAGATATATTTTAAGCAAGAATTTTATGGCGACATGTACAAACAGGCAAAAGACAAAGCTGTTAAAACATTGTCGGATGTATTCGAGACTGCAAGGGATATGAAATCAGCTACATTATCTGCTGTGAAAACAAACCTAATTAGAATCTTGAATAAAGGTCTCATTCATTCGACTTTGCTGCATACAATCCTACGGGAATTTTTTGGTGTATGCTCGACAGAAGATAGGAACGAGTTGATCGTCATGTTGCGTGAGTTTATCGTAGCGTTAACCCAGACAAAAATGGGAGCGAAGGTCGCCGTGCAGTGTATATGGCATGGTAACAACAAAGATAGGAAGATAATTCTGAAAGCCTTCAAAGAAAACATAAAGTCGATCTGCACGTCTGAATACGGTTACACAACGTTGTTGGCGCTTTTTGATGCTATGGATGACACCGTTATTGTAAAGAAGATAGTACTAACCGAATTGCAGAAAGACCTAGTCGATATCGCGCTAAACGAGTATGGGAGACACGTTATATTGTATCTCGTGGCCAGGAGGGACTCTCATTATTTCTCACCGAATATCGTGGAATATTTGCGCCAAGGAGATAGCAATCCTACAAGCAAGAAGCCAGCCGATGTCCGGGAGAAAGAGCTTCTTGAAGCCATTAAAAAACCGCTTCTCGAGGCAATAACGGCAGATGCGGCTACGTGGTTATCGAACAGTGCCATAGCTATGGTTACCTTGGCAGTATTGAAAGTGGGATCGGGAGAGAAATTGAACGACGCGTTCGAATCGGTTGCGAAATTTATTAGCAGAATAGATTCGAACATCCAGCATGGTGATGCCGAATGTAGCGCGGTCGAACATCCAGGCTTGCATATGATGTTGAAGAAACTTATTCAGAATGATAAGGAATTATTGAATAAGGCCGAACCTACGTTCGGAGAGACATTGATATCACAGTTGGATGCAGAAATCTTAGAAAAATGGATAGAATTTAATAGAGCCTGTTTCTTGTTAGTCTTTCTCGCAGAGAATGAATCTGAAGAAGTAGTATCTATGTTGTTCACCAAATTGAAACTTCTAGTGAAGAAGCTCAAATCAAAAAAAAGTCCTGGAGCATTGATATTGTTAACAAAAGTGAACCAGAGAGCAACATTATGATAATTTATAGGGTTAAAAATAAAAATGTTTATAAAAAATGGTTTATACATGTATGTAATTATAAGTTCTTTATATAAATGTCTTTAACCCTTTTTTTGTAATTTTTATCCGAGAAAAACAATCATATATATGAATTTTGTCTCTCTCTATATATATATATATATATATATATATTTTTTTTTTGTCTATATATATAGTTATATACTATAATTATATATGATCATATGTCCACAATGAAAAAAATACTGTGCAATTGAAAAATGCAATTGAAATGTTTATGTTTCTAGCAGCACTTGATGTCGATGTTTAATTTGATAAAATTATTTCTTCATTTTTCCATTTAACATTATTTTTTATGTATTAGGATTGCATTCCAAAATGTCTTTTTTGAGGAAATTTTACTCTATACTTTATATGTAACGTGAACTATAGGTATTGAGTAAAATTTTCCTCAAAAAGAACGTTTTGGAATGCAACCTAGATATATGATTATATATGACAGAGACAAAATTCATATACTAATTAATATAATTATTTCGTATATAATTATTAAGATAGTTTATATATAAATTCATAATTAATACAACTAAAAATTTTGATAATTTGGAACGACGATATCAAATGATTACGAGTATTTTAAGAAATTTATTTGGACAATGAGGCATTAAAATAAGAATCAAAAACAGAAAAGAATGACTGTGCTTTGAGATAGATGGCATGACTATTTGTTTTGGTTAGATTTTCTACACTTTACTGCTTCTTTTTTATTCGTTCTCAAAAAAAAATGTAGAGATATATTTATTCCACTTTAAATGCAGAAAGTGCAGTTATGAGAAGAGCAGACTTCGGCTGCGCGTTCCGAAATTCACTGCCAGTACTGAAATTCTATAATATACGTGACATAAACTATAGATTTTCAGTACTAGCAGTGCATTTCGGAACGCAGCCATCGTTTAACTGATGAATTCAAAGTAGCAAACATATAGGCCGCGTTCCGTTTCACGCATATGCACGCATTTATCTATAGTTCGTGTTACGTATATTGTAGGCAATGCGCGCATAATGCGTGCAACGGAACGCAACCATAACCTAAAGAGATGTCGAAACTGTGCGACGAAAACATTACAGATAACTCGAAAAACGAGGAATATCTCGAGGAGAACTCTATGGTTCAGGATGATTATAAAAAACTGAAGCAAGAAAATGAGTGCTACCAGCAAGAATTGTACGTTTTGCGCCTCAAGTTGAAAGCAAAAGAAGCGCTCGAAAAAGAGCTTCAAGAGACTAACGAAACTTTAGAGCAGTCACTTGCTCAATGTACAACAAAAGCGGAAAAAGTGCTCGTTGAGAGAGAAGAAAAGTAAGAATTATAACAGTTTCTATAAAAATCAACTAACATTTAAATGAATTTATTATATATATATATGTATATCAGATATAAAACAAATTTCCTTAAATATCATTTAGAAGAGTTGCACTTGAAATTTTCACATATTTAACATTTACACACACCACACACACACACACACACACAAACACACACACACACACACACACCTGTATGTATTATATATTCTTCTTTTATGTTAAGTATTTGTTAATTATTTAGTTATTATATATAAACTAATAATATTTCAACATTCTAAAAATATAAAACTTTTTGTATTTATTTTTTCCATATAATAAATATCCACATAATATATGTATATCATGTAGGAAAATTGAATTTTTTATTCCTCAGATACAAAATTGAAAGAAATGAATATGAGAACCACATTGTAGATTTAGAGACTAAAGATATAAAAAATACACAAGAGATTACCAAGCTGCAGGAGGAATTAAAGAAGTACAGTGAACTTAAGAATGAACGACCACATAATGTCACTTTTAATGAGGAATGTCACTTTTCTAATCTAATAGAGTACAAGGAAAAAATTGAAGAATTAGTTACACTGCTCCAAAATGAAGGAGAAAAGCGGGAACAGTTGGAGGAGAAATTTGTTAACATGAAATGTTACATTCAAGAACTTCAAAACACTTTGCAGGTAACAACTCAAACTATTTGTAGTTATTAATTGAGACATACTATAAATCATCTTATGTATACGATTAGGTGACAAAGGAACAGCTGGCAGAAAAAGATATAGCATTGGAAAACACACGGAAGGAATTAGCTATGAATCGCATGGAATTGGAATCATTAAAAATAACTCCTGCAAATGATGTTTGTAAAGGTGAGATAATGCTCGGAATTGTTTTTAATATGTAATAATATTTTGCTTTCAAATATTGTGAAGATTCTATTGCGTCGCAGGCAATTCTTTATTTGCTGAGGTGGAAGATCGTCGGCAGATATTATTGGATAAAATGAACGTGCTACAGGATAAATATAATGAAGCAAAACGAGTGTTAAATAAAAAAACGAATGAAATTAAATCATTGAGAGTGGAAAAGGCTGCCATGATTCGAAAATGGGAAACTGACGCGATTGACACATTACAGGAAAATGCAGATCTATTGGAGAAATACAAGAGTAGAATTTTTGAACTCGAAAATAAATTGAAGGTTGAGATGAAAAAAAATAATCAAGCGGAAGAAGTACGATTTGACGGCGATAATTTTAAGTGAGCCAGAAGATTTTTCTGTTTGTTTAAATTTACTTTCTTTCATGGCTCATATAACAGTTTAATTTACACGTTTAACTTTCAGTTATGCTGAATCACTGTTAGCCACAAAGAAGAAAGAACTTGAGGAAATGAATAAAAAACTTGAGAAGCAAGCTATAGAGATATTAACGCGAGAAGAAGCAAACTATGATATTTCGAAACAGTTCCGGTATTGGCGATCTAAAGCAATGTTTATGGAAGTAAGTATATTTGTTTCTTCTCTTTTTTATCTTTTTTACTTTAAAACTTATGAAATCTCTTCTATTATTTAGGCTCAAATTTTGGCAATAAAGACGCAATTAGAAACAGAACCAATAAATGATAATAATAATAAAACCCTTCTGGAAGCTATTAATAATTGTACAATCATTGAAAACACTAATTTTGAGAAGACTTCTGATATACATATTGAATCTGATATGTCAGATAATAATACATGCCGAGAAATATTGACGGCTAAATCCGAAAGATTACCAATAGACAGGTGTGCGATTGAACAGAAAGAAGCAAGTGGAAAACTTTTGCGATTCGCTCAAGATGCTAAAAATACCGAGAGTAAACCTTTAAAAAGGCAACCCAAACAATATGATTATCCTATTATATCTATTCCTGATATTTTATAATTTTAAATCGTCTTTATTGCGATGTTCCATAATACTGTATATTTGAACGACTAAACTGGTTTAATACGTTTATTATATAATAGGCATGGAAACTATTGCAATAACTAATCGTATTATATGAAATGCAAATATATTTTCAGAGTGTATCATTTAAGATAAAATTTTATATTTTATACTTTCTTAAAATTGTGTGTTGTTTTTATTACATTACCTGTTAGTTTAGCTTTTTTTTAGAAATATGTGTAACATAAAGGGAGAGATTTTGAATTTTGGTAGTTGTAACTACCCAGACAGCAAAAATGTCCAAAATCAAGTCATAAAACGTCTTTAAAACATCTATAAGACATCTTTAAGATAAGTTTATAAGATATTGTTCTAAAGATGTCTTAAATACGTCTTATGACTCGATTTTGGACATTTGTACTGTCTGGGTATAAAATTTTCTTTTGGTTTTCTGTAATATACAGTAGGTTACTAAATGGTAGACACAATGAAGTTGGGACCTTACTGAACTGTTGAAATTTAGGATCATTATTGTAACAAGTTTGCTAAATAATTATATTAGTAAATTATTCAATTTATTTTAATGTAAATATACAATCACAGTATATAGACTTATGTGAAAAAATAATGTAGTAATACTAACAATGGTATATAATATTACTTGAACATTTTTGGCATTAAATTTTTTTATTGATGAAAACCAATTCAAAAATATTCAATTAACATCATTTGGAATATTTTAGTCAAAATTGATTGATAATAGCATAATTCTAGGAAGTTTATCCAAAATTCATTGTACAACAATAAAATTATATACATGTAAAAATAAAATTATATACATATTCAATTTAACTTTATATTCATAATCAGCAAACCAAAACCAACAACCATGGTTATTTAATAAAAGATACATAGAACTGATGAATTCAAAGTAGCAAACATATAACCTAAAGTGATGTCGAAACTGTGCGACGAAAACATTACAGATAACTCGAAAAACGAGGAATATCTCGAGGAGAACTCTATGGTTTAGAATGATTATAAAAAACTGAAGCAAGAAAATGAGTGCTGCCAGCAAGAATTGTTCTCTGGTACGGGTACGTTTTGCGCCTCAAGTTGAAAGCAAAAGAAACGCTCGAAAAAGAGCTTCAAGAGACTAACGAAACTCTAGAACAGTCACTTGTTCAATGTACAACAAAAGCGGAAAAAGTACTCGTTGAGAGAGAAGAAAAGTAAGAATTATAACAGTTTCTATAAAAATCAACTAACATTTAAATGAATTTATTTTATATATATATATATATATATATATATATATATATATATATATATATATATATATATGTATGTATATCAGATATAAAACAAATTTCCTTAAATATCATTTAGAAGAGTTGCACTTGAAATTTTCATATCTATTCTAGCTATAGTATATTAGCTCTGGTACGGGTACGAGTCAGATGTCTTGTATATGTCTATGGTTGCACACTAAAAGCGATGAGCTGCATCCGATCCGAAAGAGCTCTTCTTTCTAAAGAAAGGCTAGTGTGCAACAGCCATTAGATGTAAAAGTATCAAAAGAGCAAGCAATATGAATAAATTTTAAATAAAACGAGGAGTACAACCATTAATCCCATTGGTTAATTATACCGCGCTTCAACCGCATTTGGAAAGTGGCGCTCATAGCGAAGACTTTTGAATTATTTTAGTCAATCAGAAATAACGGGCCTAATAATTTGCTGGCCAATAATGTTCAAATAAGTTGGCTTATGAGAAAACAATTTAAAGACGTTTTGTTTAAGACTAAGACTTTTATAGATATGTTACTATATATTTCTATAAATTTACTATAAATTATTATAAATTCCTATAGTCGATCGAGAATTACGATTAGAGCGTCGATTTGCTCATCTCTCCTGCTCAGGATTGAAAATGGATATCGATGATAGTTAGAATAATGGCGATATTCGGTACATCGTATAATTTAAACTTTAAACTTTTAAACATATGTTGTCGAATCGCGATATTTGGTACATGATTTAAAATTTAAAGAATACGATGCCGGATACTATCAACAATGGCTAGCTGTCGTCAATACTTAGTCCTGAATAGGACGGATGAGCAAATCTACAGTCCAACTGTTATTTTGAAGAATCATCTATATCGAAAAAAGAAAATTTTCACTTGGCACTGCAATATAAAAATAAACTGACTAAATTATAAAAATTTATAGTTTAATAACTCAAGATTTTGACGTACATGATGCTCACAAAGACTAAAAAGTCGTTATGACATTTGCCGTAGCAACAGCGTGTATAACTCTCATATTCGGTAAGACAGTATAATACATACTTTTAAAAATGTCACACACTCTCTAAATTTCTTAGAGTGAAATCTCCACTCGAAAACTGGAGTGACTAGCCAAATAACTCGAACTGGAATGACTCTTCATTCTTACGGATTGAATTCTTCCACTCTGTGACGTAGAGTGAACATTTTCACTCTGTGTTCTGGAGTGAAATTCCACTCGAAAAATGGAGTAATTACTTAATGGCTCCTAGTTGGAGTGACTTTTCACTCGTATGGAGTGAATATTGTCGCTCTATGTAGAATGAATATTTACACTCTATTGTGAAGTGAGATATTATCACGTGGACAAAATACATGCGCCACACGCAAGAAGATCGACTCGCAAATCGCATTAATCGTTTCGATGTCCGATTGTTTGTGTAGCTTCGTTCGTTCCATTATTCGTGAATGCGTGTTGTGATTTTTAAAATTACGTGAAAATGTCGATAACTTTTTTTTCACAGGTAAGTGCTAACTCTCTAAATTTCTTGGAGTGAATATCTCATTCAAAAAATGGAGTGACCGAGTCACTCGAATTAGAGTGACTTTTCATTCTTATAGGATGCATTCTTCCATTCTATATCGTGGAATAAAAATTTTACTCTGTGTCGTGGAATTAATTTTCGTTTGACAAATGGAATGACGACCGTCACTTGAGTTAAAGTGACTTTTCACTAGTATGGAGTGAATTTTCAACTCGTGGAGGAGTTAATGATTCGGAAAAAATTTATATACTATTATGACAGTCATTCCTATCAGTTAATAGCAGTGACTCAGTAGAATTCAAAAGCCAGAGATCTCAGATTCAAGTCCCACTATGATCTACAAATTTTCCCAAGCTTATTATAAATAAAATGAACTAAATAGCACACCATTAAAAAGATTGTGCAATAATCAGAGGTCTAGCAATTATAAACAGGATAGAACTAAAAGGCTTCCTTTGTACCTAATAAAAATTCATTCCACTTAGAGTGAAATTTTCACTCTAGTTGGAGTGAAATATTCATTCTTATGAAAAGTGAAATGTCTCACTCCATTCAGAGTGGCAGTATTTTCACTATCGCTTGGAATAAATTCTCATTCGTTTGAAGTAATGTTTTACTCTAAGAAATTTAGAGAGCACACACATATTAGATGTCTTAAAAATGTCTGAAATTAGTTGTTTTTAAGACGTTTTTAAGACATCTTTTGGAAATGTCTTAAAGACATTTTATTTCAAACGTCTTTAATATGCACTTTGAAAATGTTTTAAAGTCATTTTTTTTAAATATCTTTAAAACGTCTTTTGATAATATCTTAAAAACGTCAAAAATAAAATGTTTTAAGACGTCTTTTGGAAATGTTTTAAAGACGTTTTGCTTCAGACGTCTCTTTGAAAAATATCTGAAATAAGACACCTTTTATATATATATATATATATATATATATATATATATATATATATATATATATATAACTGTTGATAATGTCATTAAGACGTCTTACATAAGACGTTTTTTAGACATACATATTGGGTGGGCAGTTTCTAATAAAAACACATGATTTAAAATGTAAAATACGTTCAATTATGCATGGGATTGGGATCAGGGCAAAGTGTACGATGTATATATGTACGTGTGACATATGATCCTTTGTGTTCTTACTGGAAGAGTCACTGTGATCATTAAAATACGGTAGACAAGGTACTTTCATTTTTTCTTCTTTTAAAGAACGTAAGTTTGGATTTAATTACATTGTTCCCCTCCACATATATTCTTACTCTTCTTTACAGTCGTGTACTTTTCTCTCAATATAAACGCGCCCACTATTGAGTTCGTTTGTCGAACATTTTATTATAAACGTAACGTGTTAGTTCCTATAGATTCTCTGCGCGATTATATCTTAACAGGGAGTAACAGTTTGAAGGAACACTTCTCATCACATTGGCGAAAGTTCGAAGAATTTGTCATCTAACCCGCTATAAAATAACGATTTGCGGTGTTAATTAGAAATTGTGGAATTTTCTTTGTCAACTGCGTAGTAAAAGTATATATACTTAGAACGAAGGTTGAACGAAGAAGTCGTGTTCTTCGTGAAACAAAATGATACAGAAAAATAAAGACTATATCGACGAATTGCTGGACATGTCAGATCCTCCAAACACTAGCAATTGCTCGAGCGAAGTCATCCAATATTATACAGGACGTAACGTTCTTGTAACGGGCAGTTCCGGTTTCTTCGGTATACTTCTGATAGAAAGATTATTGCGGTAAATATTTAAATACATATACACACACGTATTTTATTTTCCTTTTATAATAGACAAAATACTATTAAAGCTACGCGAAATATACACATGTCATATCGCAAGATGACGAATTAAACGGTCCAACTTATAACAGAGATTAACAGATTTAAAAATTTACTTTCTTAAATAAAATTTTAAACGTAAAATTTTACTGAATGTAATGTAGATTGTAGAGTGTAGAAATCGCGTGATACGAGAAAATATTAAAAAGAAATAATAACTTTTAGATGCTGTCC